TGAGAGAGGAAGGTATGCATGCAACTAACAGATTGTGCCCTTAAGACTAAAAGGATATGCCCATTATTTCTCCTTTTGCTTCCCTTTTGTTTGAATGCAGGTGAGTGAGTGAGCTATCCTGTAACACAGAGATAAAGGCAACATCCTGTGAACAGCAGGTAGCCAGCTGAAAGAAGCTTGAACCTCTAAAACCTTCATAAAGAAGAACCACTGCAACACACTAGACACCCGTAAAAGCTGAACTACATTCTTAGCGATACAATAACATATTACTGTTATGTTATAACAGTAATGGAGGAGACATTATCTTAATTTGGCCCAGAAGCACCATAGTCACAGCATAAAATTTCACAACATTTATATGTATTTATACCTTATTTTGGTAGCCTACAGAGGAATAAATAATTTCTGATATTTGTATAATAACTGGAATGTTTCACTTTGAAAATGCCTGATTGATTAAACAGTCATAAGACTGAATTATAGGGTACCAAAGAAAATACGTTACTGTGAAAGTCTTCTGATCTCTGCTTTGCCAAAGAATGTTTCTTATGCAGGTATTACTACATTGCTGATCGAGACAGAGTAGAACACACCTGGATTAATACAATAAGCAAAGACGGTATGGGTAAATCCAGGATTATCACTTTGCCCAACACCAGGGGCACTTTTGGCATCCCAGGTTATGAAAATGATGCCACTTGCAGTTGTGTATCCCACTGTTCTCACAGTTATATACTCCTCTGGTGGATTTTAACCAAAAGAATTTGAAAATATTTGTTAGTTCATAAACTACTGATAGTGCTTTGACATTTGGCTCTTCTTTAGCCGAAAGAACTTGGTGGTCTCTTTCAGATTCATCTATTAATGCTATGTCAAATTGCTTTATTTTTTACCCACAAAAAGAAACTCCTTTACTGAAATTTCACTATGGTCTGATGATAATTAAAACACCTTTGGTTCATTCATTGGTTGAGATCAATATGATAGCCCCAATTCTGATTTTTTTGACAATTTTTAGGCAAAGAGATTATTTTAGTTCATCCTTTTTACTGTTTGATTGACATAGTAACTAACAAGCCAGACAATAGGTTTTGAAATGTAGAGTAGTTAGTGATAATCGTATTTCTAGTATTAGTCAATTAAACGTATGAAAAATCATTATAAAAATACACAAAAGGTGCAAAGAATTTTTCAAAAACCCTATTAGAATTGGCATTAATTCAATTA